TTGGACAAATTGGTACATATTGAATTAAATTCAATTGAATATACAAAGAGCTTGAGTGAATCCCGCTTTGTGACAAATACGAATTGGAGCCTACCAAAAATGTTAATTCGTTTCAATTCATTTGAATTAGTTTTTTTTACTGGGTTCATACCTCTATCGAGCGTCGTGTTATATATAAAATCTCTGCGCGTCACACGCAATTTATCAAAATTGAGGTCCCTCTTCGCAGCTATCGCGAAGGTTCCCTGACCACTGATCACATTTTTCAAATTTACAGCAGAATAAGACTTTACATTTTCTTTCCCCACCATCACTCTGCTCTATACCTTTTCGTCTTATTAATATGAGTCACTCACATTCGCACCGTACAATTGTTAAGTGCACACGGTAATAAATAAACTATCAAGATTGCTTCAAGCTTGAATACAGATGGGATGTTCAGCTTCACTCACGAAGATTGACCGAGTCTTGAATCGAGCATGGGATGAACATTTGTGTCCCTTGCTGAACCAATATTGACTGACACTGATATAAAGACTGCTTCAACTCTGGGTTACCCACGCTGGGCGTTCAAGACTCAGTCAAGTTTCAACCCATCGTCAGCACTGGTCTTTCGCGCCTGGGGTGACTATATGTAGAAGTATGGGGACAGGGTCACTTTTTGACATTGTTTCGAAAAATTAAATTTCTTTCCTTTCTAGTTTATAAATATGACCTGCAATCAGGTACGCTAAAATTTTTCCAAAATCTACAATTGAAAATCAAAATGTGTACCGAATTTTAACGGTGACGATATCCGAAAAAATGAAATTTCTTTCCTTTCTAGCTCGTAAATATGACCTCCAATCAAGTTCGCTAAAATTTTTCCAAAATCTACAATTGAAACTGAAAATGTGTATCGAATTTCAGTCCAATAGGTGGCTATAATTATGTAGAAGTTCAGTATGAAAACAGGGTCATTTTTTGACATTTTTTCAAAAAAATAAAATTTTTTTCCTTTCTAGTTCGTAAATATGATCTCCAATCAGGTTCGATATATTTTCCCCGTAATCTACACGTAAAAATGAGTATGTGTACTGAATTTAAACTCTCCAAGTCCTTATATCCAGAAATTAAGGGGGAACAGAGTCATTTTTGAAATTTTTTTGAAAAAATTTGATTTAATTCCTTTTCAGTTCGCAAATATATGACAGCCAATCAGGTTTGCTATCCCAGTAAACGAAAACTAATTGAAATGAATTAAAAAGAATTCACAAAGAGCTTTCGTGAATCCCGCTTTGTGACAAATACGAATTGGAGCCATGATGCAATTTTCCTGAATTCGTGAAACTGTATTGAACTTCCGAACCTTCTATCCGTACCAATTCACTGGACAAGTTTTGAGCCTTTAATTTTTTTCAATTCGTTAGCACGAATTCAATGCATTCCTTGGCCATTTCTTTCGAATGCGAATTCGTTTGGACAAATTGGTACATATTGAATTAAATTCAATTGAATATACAAAGAGCTTGAGTGAATCCCGCTTTGTGACAAATACGAATTGGAGCCTACCAAAAATGTTAATTCGTTTCAATTCATTTGAATTAGTTTTTTTTTACTGGGATATTTTTCCTGTAATCTACACTTAAAATTGAGTATGTGTACTAGGGTGGTTCTTAATTGGGCGATGTTTCCAAATCTTCGGTCTCACCCCAAAAAATTAATCAAGGTATAAAAAAAAAAATTTTCCTGAAAGTTTGAAGCAAATCGAACAATATTAACACGTGCCTCTGGTCGACTGAAATTTTAAATGGAAAATACATGTTTTTTTTACCTTATTATTGCACTATAGTTACCTAATTATTATTGATATTTCGATATTTCTTTTTATTTTTTTTCGTAGTTTATAACTTTTCTAAATTTTAAATCAAAATAAAATAATTTGTTAGAATACCTACTTCTTTTGTTTTAAAATGTCATGAATTTTACTACATCCAAAGTAAATTTTAATAAATATTAGTAAAATTTACGATGGATTTGGTAAAATTATCTATTAAAATAGTAAAATTTATTACGAACTTGATAAATTTTCCTACAAAAGTAGTAAAATTTGGTATTAAAAATTGTTATTACCAGAATAACTTTTACTATTTCCAAAAAAATTTTTTTTTAATTTGCTTTGAAAATAATAATTTTTAATAAAAAATTGTATTACGTTAGAAGAAAATATAGAAAAATTTTAAATTGTAAAATTTTATAGGGGAGAGTGGTCCTAAGTTGGCCGTGGGCCTAAGTTGGCCACCCTGCATTTCTCAGATATGGTATACTGGACGAATCTATAATTTTGTGGTATGATATATTGATAAACCATGATATAATTTATGGACCTAATTATAATCTAAGATTCTTCTACGCATTGTGAGAACAATAATATTGTTTACGACAAAAAAAATTAATTTTTCTTGTTTTTTCGAGAGCAGCTACAAGAGATAAATAATTAAAAATTTCTAAATGAGTGTGTGCGCAAGTTCCTTTATTTAATGTTGTAATAAGAGGTTCTGTTGATTTTTTAATTAAATTTTTTTTTAGCGTAATAATTTGAAACTTGTAAAAATCTACAGTGGACCTAAGTTGGCCACCTATTGTTTTTGTTTGTTTTTATTTATGTTTTACTTCTTTTTTGTATTTTTCATCACGAGAAAGACCGTAAAAGTGTAACGTAGGAATTAAACAAAGACAAAAAACAAAAAAAATGGTTTAAAAAGCATTAGAAAAGATATAGTACAAAAACGCCTGTCTCCACAGCCATCCACCACTGAAAATAAATGAAATAAAAAATTGCTTCATTTTCTAATCAAAAATAGTTAAATAATGCGTTTTTATTCTCCTAAATGTATCAAATTTGTAAAGTTTCTGCGTAATTGAAAAGAATATGCATTTCTTCCTTATACACAAGCGAAAAAAGTGGTGTCCAACTTAGGACCACTATTTCTGAAATGTCCAAAATGCAGCTTTTCACTATTTATTGTATTAAGACTACAAAAGCTATTCTATAACGTTCTAAATACCACAAAATTATAGCAAAACGATCTCTGAACACTAATATATACTTGCCGAAGTGATTAAATTTCATTTTATTACTATTTTCGACCAATTTGCTTAGGCGGCCAACTTAGGACCACTCTCCCCTACTAAAAAACATTTTTTTTCAGAGTAAATTTAATATTTAAAGTAAATTTTAATAAAACATAATAAATAATAACTTAATAAGATTTATTTTTGAAATAATACAAGTTGACAAAAATTCTAAACAGTTTGACTTTTATTCTGTAAGCAGTAAAAGTTATTTTATATTTTTTAGCTTTGTATAAAAAAATTTCCAAGTTAAAAAACTCCGAGAAAATAATATAATTAAGTTTCAAAAAACTAAAATTTATCTAAAGTTTGCAAAAAGTACAAATATTTTTCTTCAATATAACTAAAAATTTTGTAAGTTGCATAAAAATGGCAATTTTTGTACATCTTTTTTTAAAAAAGGGGCAAAAACGGGAGAATATTCATGATTGTAGGTAGTTTAGAGGAATTATTTAAGTGGATAAAAATAGAAAAAATGGAATTAAGTAAAAAAGGGGACTAACTGTGATCCCTGCAATTCTTTTTTATCATAAATATGTTCTAAAATTTTTTATTTTGTCGCAAGTTGCTTGCGAATGACGAAAACGATTTCAATTATTTTTCAAATTGAACTTTACATTGAAAACAATTAAAAATTTAAATGCATCAGAAAATAAAAATTTGAGAAAACTTCGTTGTTTGTGAATGCGAAAAAACTATTTCTATATTTCGCAAATTGAATTTTATTAAAAAATAATTTTAAAAAATTTGTCTATAAATTAAATATGACTATAGATAAAAAAAATATTCGGAAAATAAAAATTAGAAATTGTTTCAGAAAAACTACCATTTTTTATAATTTATATATGGGGCATTCCAGGCCAAGTCGTAAATCATTTTGTTTTTGCATCTCAAATTTTTTTTAAACATTTTTTTTCTTTTAGTACTCTTTGAAATGAGCTACCTTGATTTTTTCAAATTTTTTCATAAAGCGGTTCAGGAAATACAGATTTTTGAAAAATGACGTTTTTTACGTAAATTTTTTTTTTAAATGCTTATAACTCGGTTAAAAAGTGATCAAATTGGACGTATTTATAATGAAAAGTTTTGTTTTCACGCGTAGTTTTTAATAAAAATATTTTTAAAAAATTTTTAAATAATTAACGATAAGATTTTAAAATTTTTAAATAAAATTTCATTTTTAACAAGGTATGTATCGATCAATTTTTTTCAAAATTTTTTGTAAGAAAGTAGCACTAAATTTACAATTTTTAAGCCTTGTCCAATTGTGGGCAAACGATGGGATCTATTTATTTAAAAAATTTTAATTTTTATATACACAGTGCAAAACGGTAGGCCTAACTTGCCATTTGACCAAATCACAATTTTACACAGAAAGAAGGTTGAGTTTGGAGAGACTCAGTCTGAAAACACATTTGCTGTGAAAAATTTGTGTGATTTTGTCAAATGGCAAGTTAGCATTTGGCCACCACTGCGTATATAAAAATTAAAAATTTCAAAAATGAAATTTTATTTTAAAAATTTTAAAATCTTATCGTAAATTATTTAAAAAATTTTTTAAAATATTTTTATTAAAAACTAGGCGTGAAAAAAAAACTTTTCATTATAAAAACGTCCAATTTGATCAATTTTTGACCGAGTTATAAGCATTTAAAAAAAAATTTACGTAAAAAACGTCATTTTTCAAAAATCTGTATCTCCTGAACCGCTCTATGAAAAAAATTGAAAAAATCAAGGTAGCGCATTTCAAAGAGTACTAAAAGAAAAAAAATGTTTAAAAAAATGTGAGATGCAAAAGCATAATAATTTCCGACTTGGCGTGGAATGCCCCATATATATCAATTCTTTTTGCCTATACACAAATGTAAAAATTTAAAACTTTAAAGGTAAAATTTATCACGAAGGCGAGAAATTACCGCACACAACTGGCAATTGTGTGGAATGTAGTTGTGGACCAGAGGGTCGAATCAAATGTTCACCAAAAGACTGTGTCTCACTGAGATCAGAAATTTCATCAGATAATTCGTCAGACGGAGAATTCGAGGTATTAAGGCGAAATGGAGAAATGGACGAAACCTTTTAATCCAAACAAGTGATATATATCCGTAATATAAAAAGAAATCTTTATATATATCTCTTAATCCGGAAAACAAGAAATAAGAATAACAAGAAACGAATAATATAAGTTCGAGAAGAAAATAAATCTCGATTTTTTCTTTATTTTCAATTTAAAGAGAAAATCGCATTGAAGGAGAAGTTTTTTTCTTTTGCAAAAAAAGAGAGTGAGACCTAAGTAGGAAATAGTAGATACTTATGTAGATAATATAGAATTTTAATTGAACTAAAAGAGGAACTAAAAATTATAAATTTTTTCGTTCCGCTAAAAAAATTGTTACTTAATAATTTTTACTCGCCAGTGTATTTAAATCAACGCATATTAAAAAATATTTTTCTTACTTAGAAACTTACAATATTAGAAAATTTCGAATCGAATAGAGTGACATTAAAAAAACAACTTTACATTAATTACACTCGTGTAGATTTGACAATCAAGAATCTACCCATATCGATTAATAATAATTCATTAAAGCCCAAAATTATTTGTCGAAATTATCCATTTGAACAAAAAATCTAAATCCATCACTAAAAAAAATTTAGAAAACTTTTTCATTATTTTCAAAATTTAAATACTAAGAAAGTAAGAATGAATTTCTATCAATATTACGGAAAACTTTTCTAATTTTTTTTATAAAGAAAATAAATAAACTTATTTCGAATTAGTAAAAAAAAATTTTTTAATCACATTTATAGTCGTAAATGGTATATGTGCTAATTGGGCATTAATGAATAATCGACTGTCATATTCTCCTCGTGATATTAAAAAAAGGTGCAATGGTCTTTAAACTCAATTAAAAAAGATTTATTTGAAAAATATTATCCCGCTCGTATTTGGAGTATTTGAATCATTTTATCAGCTTTAAAAAGAGCACAAAATAATAATCATATTATAATGTATCTACATATCTCGTACATGCGGAACCAATTATCGGAAAACGATATTCACAAAAAAAACTATATATGTAAATATTATTTATATTGTGTAAAATAATAATTGCAAATTATAATATCCATTCTATTACTGTTTTCCATTTATAATATAATTTTCTTATTGCATATTAATTTTTATATTTCTCTCACTTTTCCCTTTCTCTATGTTAAATATTTATTCTTTCAATATAACTATTATATTATAAAATTGATAATTCATTTTTATAATAACAATAATTATTTTTTATAATAATTATAAAAATAACAACTTTATAATCATAAAAATCATAAGTTCTATAATTTAATTATTATAAATATCACTTCTTTATTAATAGTTTGCAACTTTGGTAATTTAATATTATTTATTAATTTAGACCAGATTTATATTTCTTTAAAAAGTATATAAAACTTTTAATTTGTTATTTCTGTAATATTGTGTCACAAAAAATAAATTTAATCTAATATTGTTGTTGTTATTATTATTATTATTATTATTAATATTTATAATAATAATAATGTAGGTTCTATTCCTACGATTTTATATTTAATTTATAAAGGTCGAGAAAGAAAATAATTGCTCACACATTTAAATAAAACACATAATATTTATTAGAGTTCACACAATATAGAGGTAACACGTGTAGGTATGCATTTATATACATATGTGTATAGACGTATATATATATATGTGTGGTGTGTGTCGAGCGCGGAGTAAAAATTAGGCACGAGTATTGCTTTCAAGAACACTGTAAAAAAAGAGCGTCTTGGTTTAAGACGTTTACGTGGTCACATTTTAGACGTTTATAAGCGTCTTATTTGCCTTCTAAAATGCATGTATTTGGAGGTTATGTTTTTCATTTAAGACGCTTATTTACATAAGACGTTTATAAACGTCTAAAAGTCTTATTTTTAGACGCCATTTTTTGCAGTGAATCAGCAGAGTACTGCCTTTTTGCCAAAAGGGCTAGCTGTGTTGTATCTAAAAGTACAATGTTGCCGTGGTTATTTGTGTATCTTTGGAAAATGCATTTTCCGTGAAATCGGCAACAGTGGACGATAAATATTTCTATTTATTCTAATTTTGTGTTACAATGTTCTAAAATACTCATTTTTTAAGGTTTTTACCCAAACTGAAATTACCTACTTTTATTGCGGTCTCTCTTTGCGCCCTACCTGAGTAACAATCCAGGTACATGATTTTACTCGAAAACTGAGAACTTTAGTCGATTCAGTAAAATATAATATTTGCTACAAATTTCTAAAAGAAATGAATTTATTTATAAAATATGTTATTTTTTATAATAATGTGTAGATATTAACGCTACAATAATTATTATTATTTAGTCAATTTACTTTACTTATAGGAACATTATTCACTATTAATTAAATTAATTATGCGTCTAATTATTCTAGATATTAACTAATTAGTCAAATAATTAGATTAATTTATTGACAAAATAAATAAATTAAGTAATTTTATTAATTAATTTCGTTAATTTGATTAATATATTTAATTAATTAATGCATGTAAAATAATTTTCTGCAGCAGATATCAAAAATCAAATTACTTATATTTCTAATTACATCTTGAAAAAATCAAGAAGGGGTCATTCACAAACTACGTCACGCTTTTTCGGACTAATTTTGACCCCCTCCCCACCCTTCGTCACATTTTTTACATACAAAAAATTTTTTTTCCACACTTCGTCACACACAGCTTGACACTCCCCCACCCCTAGAGGAGTGTGACGTAGTTTGTGAACGACCCCGAACAACAATTTTTGTTATTTTTAATGAGTACGCAACAAAAGAGACAATATAGCCAATGAAGAAAATTTATTTCAATACTAATACGATGAAGAGACTTCATGTAGAAAATTAGCGATGAAGAAATAAATAAATAACAAAAATTGAATAATAAATGTCAAGTGGATTTCTGCTATACTGAACTAATAATATATTCGATAACACAGGCCTACAAATTTCAGACCCAGAAACGGGATGGGCATTTCCGATGTAATTTGTCACCCTGAATCAAAACTGGCAGCGAAATTGTTCTATCACGTCAGGATTCTGAGATATTCTAACCTAAAAGAGTAAAAAAGACCATTTTTGGCAACATTCGACTCTCAATAAAATTTACAAAAATTTTTTTTATCATTGGAACAAATTTTAAAAGAAAGTACAATTATTCACCTTTCAAAATATTCTACACCCGATCCGATCCGACTTTTTTTCACTAAGGTACAACAATTTAAAGTTTAGGTTACACGACCTAAAAACTGAAAAAAGAAGAAAAGAATAATTGGAAAGTACTTTAACTTAAACATCTGATTCTTAATATTTTGGGATCGTTGATTAGAAAACCGATGTCGGATTTTCAAAATTCAAAATGGCGGATCCAATATGGCGGCTGTCAAAATAAAAAATTGATCGGATTCGCTTGAAACTTTTTACTCGGGGGTTTTTGAGGTCGCTAATTACGAATCCGATATCAGATTTTTGAAATTCAAAATGGCGGATGAAAAATGGCGACATATTTTTTTAAAATTTAACGGATTCGCTTGAAACTCTTCACTCGGGTGTTTTTGAGATCGCTTATTACGAATCTGGTGTCACATTTTCGAAATTGAAAATTATTGTGGATCTAATATGGTATTATATATGTTAGTAAAATCGAAAAACGTGAAATTCGAAGTCTTTTGAGTACTTGAAAAAAACATTTCCACACCTATAGATATCTAAATTGAGAAAAGATGTATTTACAGGTCCAGATATAAGCAAAGGAGTGATTCTGTATTATATTCTAAAAACGAAACCAACTATACGAAGATCAATTGAAGAAAAATGTGTAAAGGTTCATAAAGAAAAATAAAACTTTGAATTTTCTTTACTAAAAGAGTGTACAAATTATGCTCTAAATGTTCGAATTTTACGTTTTTCGATTTTACTAACATACAATACCATATTAGATCCACAATTTTAAATTTCGAAAATCTGACATCAGGTTCGTAATTAGCGACCTCAAAAACCTCCGAGTAAAAAGTTTCAAGCGAATCCGATCAATTTTTTTTTTTATTTTGACAGCCGCCATATTGGATCCGCCATTTTGAATTTTGAAAATCCGACATCGGTTTTCTAATCAAAGATCCCAAAATATGAAGTATCAGATGCTTAAGTTAAAGTAATTTCCAATTATTCTTTTCTTCCTTTTTTCAGTTTTTAGGTCGTGCAACCTAAACTTTAAATTGTTGTACCTTAGTGAAAAAAAGTTGGATCGGATCGGGTGTAGAATATTTTGAAAGGTGAATAATTGTACTTTCATTTAAAATTTGTTCCAATGATAAAAAAAAATTTTGGTAGATTTTATTGAGAGTCGAATGTTGCCAAAAATGGCCTTTTTACTCTTTTAGGTTAGAATGACGTGATAGAGCAATTTCGCTGCCAGTTTTGGATTCAGGGTGACAAATTACATCGGAAATGACTTATCCCGTTTCTGGGTCTGACAAAATTCTAAATTTTGTAAGCCTGTGTAATGAATAAAAGTGAATGAAAATTATTGTTATACGACGACGATGAGAATAAATTGTTTATAGCTATAATATAATGAGTAGACAGACTCCAGTGTGATACTGTATAACATAAATTATTATTATAAGTTATATAACCTAATGAATATCATTTACTAATAATAATATAAAAATGCAAAAAAAAGAACTTGTATAAGAGTTTACAATTTAGAAATTTTCACTACATGATAAATTAGATCATTTTCAGATAAATTTCAAGAAAAAAGGAACATTTAGACCTAACGAATATAGTTATAAATATACAATTTAATTTTTATAAACTCATTCAAGTATATATACACATATATAGATTCACCAATTTTGCACGTGATTCAATTTTAATTTTTTTTTCTCTATCCATTTTGTTTGTTTTGTCAAGAGTATATCAAGTTTTATGAATTCTAAACTTTTATTATCCATAACGTTCAACTCCATCTTATTTCAGCAAAGTTTATGAGATTTTCAATTTACACAACCAACAAAAAGTAAATGAAACTGTATCTATATGTTTTAATTTAAAAAAAATCAACTTTTACAATATTATATTATATACAATTCGCGAAAACTAATTAACAATTTTCTTTATGTATATTTACCTATATATTCTTTTGTAAATATAAATTAGAAGCAAAAAATTTAAATTAACTTGAATTTTAAAAAAATTCATTTACATTTTTATAGAGAGAGAGAGAGTGTGTGTAATTAACTTTAAATTTTTTTTAAATTCTCTTCATTCCCTTCTTTTCGTATATATGTACACATAATAATAAAAATGACGAGCTTATATTTCACAAGTGAAAATGTGAAGTTATAAGGATATCATGAGATGATTATAATACAGATATGTTTCAAGGATATCACGTTACATTATTACAGAAAAAAATCAATGTAAAAAGCACGTAAAAATGGAAGATAATTAAACAAAAAAGAAAAAAATTTTGTGTGAAAACTCAATAAGATGGTTGTGTATTTGGGACCGAAAAAATTTGTTAAAATAAAATCGAAGTAGTTGATATATTTTTTTCCATCATATACTTAAAAAAATATCTCCAATTAAAGTTTATATTTTAAAATTATATACAAGATTTTTTATGTAGCCATTAGATCTTCAATTTCAACAGATGATCATAAAGTGAAAAAGGTGAAAAATTTTTATTGGTTCTCAAAAAATAAAGTAATTTTTATTTTACTCAACTACTTCGTATTTATCTTTTAATTGTTAATTTTTTTCTAAATTGTCTAATTTACACTTTAATGATCTCGTCTTCCATAACTATTGATCTTTACTCTATATTCAAATAAACATCTAGAAAATTAATTAATTATTATAACTTAATTGAAAACATGTATTCGAAATAAAAAATCATTTTACGAATTTTTTCCTTCACAATTTTCCTAATTTTCCTCCATATTATAAAATGTTTTTTTCCTTTTTGTTTTCTAAAATGAAAAAATGACAATGTTTTTTAATTTGACATTTAATTAAATTATTATTTAAATGATTTTTAAAAAAATTCGAAAAGGAAATTTAAATAAAATAGAAATCACACTTCTACTACAAATGAAAGCGAGAATTTTCTTAATTTTTTCTAAATTTATAATCATTTAAATTTTAAAAAACGAATTTAGTAGCAAATTTACAAAATAAAAAATTTATCACACTTCCCCTAAAAATAAGAAAAGATCTTATCCTAACTTTAATCAGGGTGTCTACAATTTTCGGTCAACAAAATTCCCGGTTATTTCTCGGCTTTGTCCTAATTTATCCCGGTTTTTTCTCATCAAATTTAAATTTATTTTATTTCAAACATAAATAAATCTACAAATGGCTTCAAAAATTTTGATTAGAGTTTTTATGAATAATAAAATTCTTTTGGTGAGTTGCTTTAAATTTTTTTAAAATAATGTTTTTTTAATAATTTTAATTAAAAATTTTGAAAATAATTAATTTAAACAAAGAATTTTTTCAATTTTTTAAAATAATCTTGTCTGTTCATAATTATAATTGAAAATTTGATTAATTCAATTTTATTAAAATGTATTGATATTAATTGAATTTTACTATTTATAAAAAATTAAATCCTTCCAAAGAATGTTATTATTTATGAAAATAATTAAATGTTTGCGTAGAATTTTATTAAAATTTTTGAAAATAATTGAATTGTGGAGAACAATTTAATTATTTATAAAAATAATAGAAATTTTGAGAAGAATTTAAAAAATTTTTTAAACATAATTGAAATTCTGTGAAGAATATTATTACTTCTGAAAATAATTGAATTGTTTTTTAGAATTTTTCTATTTATGGAAATAATAATTGAATTCTTGGGAAGAATTTTTTTGACAGGTTTTAGAAATAATTGAATTCTTTCGACGAATTTTAATAAAATTCTTAAAAATAATTGCATATTTCGAGGAATTCGATTAAAATTGTATTAAAAATAATTGAAATTCTGCAATGAGTTCTACTATTTATAAATATAAGTGAATATATATTGCGAAGAAATTTTTAAAAATAAAATTATAATTACGGTGACTAACTTCCCTTGAATATTTTCGAAAAAATTTAAATAAAATTCTTTAAAAGAAATTAATTATTTTTAATAGAATGTAAAGAAACTTCAATTATTTGTTTATAAAAATTCAATTATCTTGAAACAATAGAATTGAAAAATTTCAAAAATCTCATTTTTCAGTATCTTTTTTTAAATTAACTAATAAAAATTTTAATTATTAATCGCACTAAGAAACATGAATACATTAGAATGTCACTCTTTATAAAATTCAATTATTTATCAATTATTAAATTAAAATACTTTGAAAATTCGATTTGTTAAAAAGTTTTTAATTAAATTCTTTAAGGTACTACTATACACTTTAGAAGGCTCTTAAAAGACCAAATTAAAATTTTTTTTCTTAGCTCCTTTATTATACATATATGTAAAAAACTGTTTTACCTACACTGTAAAAATTTTTCGAAATTTTTCTTACTGAAAAGTTAGAAATATTTCGAAAAACGTTGAGAAAATGATTTTGCTATACCAAGTTCGACATTTTTCAAAAAGTATAGAATAAATTCGAAACTTTTTCGAAATTTTTCGAACGAGCTGTGTTTTCGCCTTAATACAATTCCAGTCATATTTTGCGTAAGCGCAAACATATATGCTTTGGTATCCACTCATATTACACTGAGAAAAGTGGATATTAAAAATCTTAATATACTAGATATTAAGAAAAGATGCTAATGCATATCATCTACACTACCGTCCAAAAGTATCAGGATGGCATGTTTTTTCATAGAGTCGAATGTAATCGTCTTGATACTTTTGGACGGTAGTGTAGATGTTATGGTTTAATAAATAATATCTCAGATATTCCCAATAATAATTTAATAATTTTTTTTTTTTTTTATTTTTTTTTTTTTTAATTTATTATCCCAATAATAATTTCTCAGATATTTAATATCTGAGATATTAAATTTGAACATATAAGATGTTTACATATTTGACTGTCACAGATGTTGACCATTAATATCTAGATAATAAAGCTTAATATCCATTTTTCTCTGTGTCATTTTACAAAATTTATTGACGATTTTGCCGCTATGAAATCAAGGAAAAAATCGTTTTAGATGTAGTAACACAAGATTCAAAGAACTTTTTCTACACTGGCGATGTTTCTGTGATTCCAGATAATTTGTGATAATTCAATAATTATATTCAACATTAAATAATTGAAGAAAATATATGTAATATTAAAAATGTATCTTATAAAGTATATAAAAAATTGAAGTAATGATATTTTTTCCGTTAACCTTCACCTTAAGAGGGCCCCCTGGTTTTTTTGCACTGGGGCCCCCAAGACCGTCGGCACGGCCCTGAATGGCTCTTTATATTTATTGAATACTTTTTGAAAAATTTACTTTTATTTTTTACAATTGGTTATGAATACTTTAGGAGGTGTTTTTTGAAGTCTTAAAAAGTTAAAAAATAAAATAAAAAATTTTTTTTTTAAATTCTAGTGTAGTAGTATCTTAACGAATTTAATTATTTTCAGTTGAATATCACAAAATTTCTATTAATTCGATAATTTTTTTTTAATTTAATTACATACCTACTATAATATGTATTTCAATCAGTGACTGATTTTTTACTATTAAATTAATTATTTTTAATTAATTCAAATTTAGAGAACAGTATAGATATCTATAAAAATTGAAAGAAAAAGCAATTTCTTAAAAACAAATTAAAATAATAAAAGTTTTTTTTTAAATAAATTGGTGAAAAAATTCCGGGTTTGGCATAAAATTTCTGGCTTATTCTCGGTTTTTCCCGGTCAAATTAAATTCCCGGTTAGTAGACACCTTGATTTAATTATCTATTAAATAATTAATTTCTATAATTACTGTTTATAATCTATATTAATAATTACGAATTAATTCGTAATTAAAATTGTAAATTAATTTATGAAGAAAAAGCTAAGAAATAAATGTACCAAATTAATAGAAAATGGATTTAGATAAACTGATTTCTCACATTTTTTTCTCTTCGTCTAATTTTCCAAATTAGAAAAACAAAACAAAAATCATAATTTCATCTAGTGCTGCTATCTGTAGGTTTCAAGAAACAGTTTTTTACCGACAACCAATCGAAATTCACAGCGAAGAACTTGACACGTGCACGTGTTTACAACCATGAAATCATTGAAATATAAATAAGGCGATTGCCTGTATAATTTAAAAAATTTCCACAATTTAGATGAATCAGATAATGACATGTAACATAAATCGAGAAAACAATTCTAAAACATCAAAGATTCAATAATTTCTGGAAATTGTCCATCAATACGTAAGTACCGCAAAAGTATTTTAAATATGAAAGAAAACCCCCTTTTTGCCAAACAACTGTCACCATACGACAACAAAAATCCTCTCTAAATTATTCGAGTAAAAAACATATTTTTTCCAAATTAAATTCAATAATAAATTCTCCAAAAGATATACATATAAATATCATAAATATTCTACCGAATGGAACATAACCTAACTTCTTCTTATTATTATCCTTATTATCATTTATCATCTCAACAAAAATAATACCGAACGATGACAAACTTGAATATTTATAATAGAAATATTATTAATAATATACAAACTTGTAACAAAGTTCCATGTACATTTTTTTCTTAAAAGAAACTAAATTTTCGACTCAATAAGTAATTAATATTAAAATTAATTTGTAATTTAATACCTAATTATTAATTAATTTGAATTCATTAAAAAATAAAAATTGATTAAAATTTTTAAATAAAAGTAAATAAATTTATAAAATGAAATCAATTAAAAAATAAAATAAAAATTAATTTAAAAAAGAAATATAAGTTAATTTTACGAAATAAAATTCATAATTAGTCAATATTAACCGCATTAATAAGAAAAAATATCATCATCAATATTAATTCATTGTTTAGAAAACTATTTAATAAAAATATTAATTTTCAGTTAAAGTTCTTTGTTTGTAAAAATATATATATATATAAAGTAAAATGAAACAAAGTAATCAAGAATAAAACGACACACGCAATATTATGATATTAAAGTTTCCGGTCGCCTAGAAAAGATATCGGGTTGCTCTAGATATTTCTTTTTCTGTGAATCCTTTCTTTGGTTGTCAATGACATGAAAAAAACAGGAAAAACACGACAAATATTAAGGAACTAGGACATGAATCAGATGCAGTCAAATGTAAATCATGGAGATGGAAGCACAACATCGTGTCGCAAAACCATTCAAAACACTCGATGAACTCTATTCAAAATTGGATGACTTAAAGCCGTGGCCCGATATTGTTGAATTACGTGATTCCGTCGATTATGTATTTTCAACCGAGAATGCTGAAACAATCAATGAAAAATTAGAGAAACTCGATAGAGAACAACAACCAAAAACTATTGTCTGTCATGATATGAAAGGCGGATATCTCGAAGACAGGTATTTCAAATATTTCCCTAATCAAACTTCAAACACGATAAATAAAACAAAAAATCTAAATTGTATTCTAATCATTTTTGGCAACTTGACAATTTTTTCATTTTCGCTATTTTTCTATTTTTTCCAGATTTATCGACGGATGTGACGCTCACGATTCCTACGTTTTTTACAATTGGAATGTAATTGACACATTTATATATTTTAGTCACAATTTGATAACGATTCCGCCTTACGGATGGATATCGGCAGCCCATAATCATGGGGTCAAGATACTTGGAACAATAATAACTGAACATAATGAAGGGGTTGAAGTTTGGGAAAAAATCCTAGCGAGCAATGAGGAGACGGAAAAATTTGCAAACGCCTTGGTTCAATTGGCAAAATTCTACAATTTCGAGGGTTGGCTTCTAAATGTCGAGAACAAAATAAAACAAGAGAGTACAGAGAGATTAATTTATTTTGTCAAAATTTTAACCGATCGTATTCATGAAGAAATTGAAAATTCAGAAATCATTTGGTATGACAGTGTAACGTGTACTGGCGAACTAATTTGGCAGAATCAATTGAACGACAAAAATTTGTAAGAACCACTCAAATTATTTTTTAATTATTATTATGTAAATCGAAATTTATTTACTAAGCAAATTTACAAACAAATCTCTCTAAACAAAAATTTATAATTAATTTTCCAACTAAAAATATAATTTTTGAATAACATTCGAATTCAATAGAATAAAAATTGTAATAAAAAACCAATATGATAAAAATCTCTTTTCTTTTAGATGCTACTTTTTAAAATGTGACGGAATATTTCTAAACTACAACTGGACGGAGAAAGGCCTAGCAAATTCTTTAGCATTGGCTAAGAAAGAAAATAGAGAAAGGGACATTTATGTGGGACTTGATGTTTGGGGAAGAGGTTGTCCTGGAGGTGGAGGATTTAATTCTGCATATGTAAGAGAATGAAAAAAATTAACAACATTCAAAAGTGAATATTAAAATTAAAATTCTTTTTTTAGGCTTTGAAACTGATACGAAAACACAGTTTGTCAGTTGCAATTTTTGCCCAAGGATGGACCCACGAATATTTTGGACCAACAAATTTCCATAAAGTCGAGGATACATTTTGGGCTCAATTAATGCCGTATCTTTACATTCATGTGCCAATTTTTGAGAATGAATCATTCGTAACGTCATTCTGTCGAGGGATCGGTCTAAATCACTACAGTCGCGGAAAGGCAATAAATCTCATTATTAAAATTATAAATTCTCCAAATTTTAAGTAGAAAACAAAGAATCAAAACTTGAAGAAAACAAACAATAATTTACATTACGAATAATTTAATTATGCAACTGTTAATACAGTAATTAATTATTACTAAAAATATTGGTAATTCAAAAATAGTTATTTAAAGAATTCGTAAATTAAAAAAGTTGATTTTTAAAAAAGAAGTTACTTAAAAAAATTAGTAAATTAAAAATATAGTTATTTAAAGAATTAGTCAATTAAATATGTATTTATTTAAAAAACTTAGTTTAATAAAATAAAAAAAAAGTTATTAAAAAAGCAGTTATTAAAAATCAGCAGTTTAAAAAAGCAATTTAAAGAAAAAACTAGTTATTCAAAAAATCAGTAATTACATAATTATAATGAGAAAATTACAACAAATTAGAAATAATTGTTCCCAGATTTCGAATGAGGAGCCAGGTCACAAAACTAAAAAAGAAACGAGAAATGCCTTTTACAATTTAAATAAACAAAAATATCAAACAATTGGACAATGGAAACATTCAAAAATAATGACAGTCTCTATTATTGAGGATAAAGAAGAGAAAAATGATCCGGGAATAAGTGGTGTGACACCATTAGCAAAAGAAAATGCGACAAAACAAGATCAAGATTCTTCAAAGAAAGAGAATCAAGTGAAAAAAGAGAAAGAATACAATTATGAAACTGGACTCGACATAATGAATGTTCGTGGTCAATCAGTAACATTTAGACCGAGATTAACACCAGTACTTTTAAACTATCTTGAATTTCATAAAGATTTTGCTTTCGATGGAGGAGGATGCATAAGATTTGTTACAAATAATCCTGGTTCTCATTATCGGTATAATTAATTTAATTACGAAATTTCAACTTTTCCAATTTCATTTTTCTCGATTATTGAATAGATTTTTTTTCTCTCTTTACATCAATTATGTTATGAAAGAATTTTTTGAAATCATTCTACATTTATTTTGATTAATTTCAATTTAATGATTAACTAATTAATTATTATTAATGAATACTAAAAAGATTTTTTCTCCCTTTAGTTCAAATATATTACAAAAGAATTGTTTGAAATAATCCTACATTTATTTTGATTGATTTCTATTTAATGATTCAATTAATCAATTATTAATTATATTAATTAAAAAAACCGCTGTTAAGTTGTACATTTTTATAATTTTGGTTTTCATTTCATGAACACTTTGCTTCCTCATAGAAACAATAATAATTGAAATATAAGAATTAATTTTTATAAAAGAGTTAAAAATCATTAAATCTTGGTCCAAAAAATATGTTTTTATATATTCTATAAGATGGTTATAATAGTTTAATAATTACACATAAGTTAATAAACAAGAAAGTATAAAAAATTATATTTTCCACAATTTTTGATTTTTCAAATACCAATAATTTGATAATTTTTGCCCAAATCAGGTTCAAAAATAGGTAAATCGAAGACTCTTTTAATGCTCTGCAAGTTGGTGATTATACTTTTAAAGTTACTTTTATATTTTTTAACAAAATTTTCAAAAAAGTGTTATTTTCGAAAAATGTAATTTTTAAAACTTTAATATCTCTGGCTAATAAAGACGAAAAATGTTCAATGAAGGCTCAAAAGATGCGTCTGAAAATACTCTAAAAAACTAAAGAAAAACATTTATAGGTGTCCTAACATTTTTTTAAGTTATGGCCAAAAACGTTTTTTTACAAAATGAAAAATGCAAAAAAAAATATAGTCAAACTTTATGAATCGGGCTGAAAATACTCTCATTTTATGTCCCCCGGGGAGACCTACAATTTAAAAAAAATTGAAGCCTTTAGCTCTTTCTCGTTCTGAGATATTGAGGCAAATGTAATGTTACTACACAAACACACATCGGGACAATTTTTTAAAATCCGTTTTTTGGACTGCTGAGATGAAATTACATAAAAATTTTTTTTTATTTATTTATAACATTTATACGGGCAATGCCCATTCGTGCATAAAGTACTAAAAGATTTGGTATAATGAAAAAAAGTTTATAAATATGTCAAAAAATCACAATCGAAAATTTTGCTAATACAATCCTTCCTCTATGAGGAAGCAATAATAAAACTAATAATTAAGTTAATTACAAATTAACTTAATACCAATTTGAATAATTAATGTTCCTACTAATAAATAATAATTAAGTGATTAACTAATTAATTACTTTCTTATAGGCTTTTTTTGGTTCATATTGAATTCGCAAGAGATATTCAAGCAAGTATTACTTATCGATTGGAGGATGCCAGCGACCAGCCATACAAAAATAATTTATATCTCATTTTAGGCAATAATTTTTCAGTTCAAACAATTTTGCCATTTCAAACAATTCAACTTGATTCCGGGTGGAAGAAAAGGTAAGTCTTTTAAATAAAATCGCCTCATTAAAAAATTTAAATTACTTTTTCAACTCATTCAAGATTTCCTTCAAAACAAAATTAGAGCAAAATTTTTTAAAAAGTTTCAAGAGCAACAAAAAATAGGTCAATTGCAAAAGAAAGAATGTCCAAAAAATATGTTTAAAATATATTTTTAAATCACAATTAATTAATAATAAAACTTATTAATTAAAATATTTAAAAAAATGTAAATATTGAAAATTATATAAAAACTTTTAATTAATACGTTAAATAGAATTTAATGTTTGCAACTTAAATTTGCTTTTTAATTTCAGTATTTATCTGACGAGTTTAAAAACAGTTAATGAAATTGGAGTGACATTTTTGCGAAGGGGAAGTTGTAGTCTCGGTGAAATAGTTGTTGGCACACTCAACGATTCTAGAGGGCAGTGGATTACGTCATAATAAAAATACCTTTAGGAAATAATGTTCTCGACCGCGACCTATTCTGTGTGTTTTATATATATGTATAACGATCTAAAGAATGTTTATACTAGGTTGAGAGTCACTTTGTGAAAGGAGGACTTTTCATGTTCGTGGACACGTCGATATTTCAGCAATAGTCTTCGCAAAAACAATTCCTAACAGGTTGCGTGAGAGTCATTACCATCACCTGCGCGTATTTTCATTCAAAGTGTGCTTAAGTAATCTAGCTAATTTTTTATATATATGTACAAACAAGATTCATTCAAACGCATAAAGTCAGAAGAAAATTAAACCTATTGTACAATTTTAAATTTTTAAATTATTGACAAACAACAAGGAAAAAGTATTTTCAATTTTTAAATTCTCCTTTCTTTACCGCAAACAACTGAATTTATTTTATTCATTAATTAACTAAATTAATTTAATCTTACCTAGTTTATTTAAATAAATTAATTTACAGTAAATTAATTATGTAAATTAACAGCAACTAAATTTATTTACTATAAATTAGTTTAAAGTTGAATTTATTTTAAATTTGTTCTTTCCTTCTTTTTAAATTTAAGAATAAATTTATTATATTAATTACATTAGTGAATCAAATTTAATTTCTATTCTTTTCTAGTTCTTTTAAACCAATAAAAAAAAATATTAATTTATCGTGACTCATCGAGTTGTTTAATTATTTAAAACTAATAACCAAAATCTCAATCTTTACCCTCCATTTCTCAGAGAAGTTTAAAATTTTTTCCTCGTCAATTCAATACTTTTTACATCGAGTTCAAAAGTTTATGTCTTTTGATACTTATTCAATTTATCCTTTTTAATAAACATAGAAAAACTTTCTACTCTATATTTAAATTTAATAAAACTTAATAAATAATAAATATAATTGAAATTTAATTTAACTTTCGTTCTTTTGTTCATAAAAAATCTTTTATTAATTATAAACTTCAAATGTAAATCTTGACGAAAGTTTACTAAATTTAATTTCAAATCAAACTTTCAAAAAATTAGTAAAAAATCTATGCTTACCTACTTTTATTATTTAAAAAATTCACTTATTGAATTCAATTGTTTTCAATACAATTTTAATAAAATTCTTCAAACCAATTCAATTATTTTTATAAATAATAAAATTTTCTCTGGAAGTTAATTATTTTCAATTGAATTTTAATAAAAATTTTCGAATTCAATTAATCTAAAAAGATTTGATAACATTTTTTATAAGAATTCAATAATTTTCGCATAAATAATAAATTTCTTTTTACGAATTCAATTATTTTCAGGAGAATTTTTATAAAATTACAAATTCAAATATAATCATTAACAAAATCGATTATATTTAATAAATTAAAGAAATTCTTCGAAAGAATTTAATTATTTTTTTTAAATTTTAATAAAATTAAAAATAAAATTAGGAATTACAATTATTAACAATAACAATTATTTAAAAAATTTGAAATAATTTCTTCCTAAAATTTAATTACTTTCCAGCTGTTTAAAATAAAAGCATTAAAAAAACTCTATTATTAAAAAAAATTCAAAGAAATTCTTGAGAACAACTCAATTATTTTAAAAAATTTTAATAAAATTCTTCACGAGAATTCTATTATTTTCAATACTATTTTAATGAAATTTCTTAAAAGAATTCAATTTTTTTCGGCGCGGTATCAACTCTACACATTTTAATTGTATACAGTGCAACTGAACACCGTTAATTCTATACAGTTCAACTCTATACATACGAATTTTGAAAAAGTTTAATTTTAACTCTACACAGTTTAATTAAATACGCGTTAGTTCTGCACAGTTCAACTCTATACAAATAAGTTTTTAAAAATTAATAACGTTTAACTGTATACGGTGCAATTGTATACAGATTAATTTGATAAATTTTTAGTTTTTAGACTTGTTTAACTCTATACAGTTTAATTAAATACACGTTAATTGTGCACAGTTCAACTCTATACAAATAAGTTTTTAAAAATTAATGACGTTTAACTCTATACAGTGCAATTGTATGCAGATAAATTTAAGAATTTTTAATTTTTTAGATTTGTTTAATTCTATACAGTTTAATTGAATACGCCTTAATTGTGCACTGTTCAACTCTATACAAATAAGTTTTTAAAAATTAATAACGTTTAACTCTATACAGTGCAATTGTATATTTTTTTTAGGTTCGTTTAATTCCATACAGTTCAACTCTACACAGGAATTGAAAAAAAAGTTAACTTTTTAATTCATATTAAAAAATAAATGCATGTTTCTGATCTGCATTTATTTTTTAATTATTGTATGGACGCAGTAATGTATAGAGTTGAACTGTATAGAATTAAACAAATCTAAAAAATTAAAAATTCTTAAATTTATCTGCATACAATTGCACTGTATAGAGTTAAACGTTATTAATTTTGGAAAACTTATTTGTATAGAGTTGAACTGTGCACAATTAACGCGTATTTAATTAAACTGTATATAATTAAAAAGTTAATTTTTTTTTCAATGCCTGTGTAGAGTTGAACTGTATGGAATTAAACGAACCTAAAAAAAATATACAGTTGCACTGTATAGAGTTAAACGTTATTAATTATTAATAATTTATTTGTATAGAGTTGAACAGTGCACAATTAAGGCGTATTCAATTAAACTGTATAGAATTAAACAAATCTAAAAAATTAAAAATTCTTAAATTTATCTGCATACAATTGCACTGTATAGAGTTAAACGTTATTAATTTTGAAAAACTTATTTGTATAGAGTTGTACTGTGCACAATTAACGCGTATTTAATTAAACTGTGTAGAGTTAAAATTAAACTTTTTCAAAATTCGTTTGTATAGAGTTGAACTGTATACAGTTAAATTAATCTAAATACTTAAAATTTATCAAAATTATTTGTATACAATTGCACTGTATAGAGTTAAACATTATTAATTTTTAAAAACTTATTTGTATAGAGTTGAACTGTGCACAATTAACGTGTATTTAATTAAACTGTATAGAGTTAAACAAGTCTAAAAACTAAAAATTTATCAAATTAATCTGTATACAATTGCACCGTATACAGTTAAACGTTATTAATTTTTAAAAACTTATTTGTATAGAGTTGAACTGTGCAGAACTAACGCGTATTTAATTAAACTGTGTAGAGTTAAAATTAAACTTTTTCAAAATTTGTATGTATAGAGTTGAACTGTATAGAATTAACGGTGTTCAGTTGCACTGTATACAATTAAAATGTGTAGAGTTGATACCGCGCCTTTTTTTCATAAAATTTAATAAGTCTTTGAAGGAATTCAATTATTTTCAAATTTTTTGATAAAATAGTTGGCGAGAATTCAATGATTTTCAATAAATTAATTTTATAATTCAAAACGTTAAAAAAATTATTTAAAAAGTTAGAAAACAAAAAGCAAACAACAACTAACTTCAATAAATTACCTCAGATTACCGGAATATAACGATTAAAATAGATTAATTTTATTATTATTATATTAAATATTCAAAGATAATAGAAAAGACGAGGATAAAAAATTACATTGTAAAACTGCAACGACCTTCGAAATGAAACAAACCTAAAAACACGAAATCACGAAAAAAAATTGAAGTTAATGTTTACTATTATTTAGGTTAATGACACCCAACGTGTGCGTTTATTGCGGCAATTCACAATCGTGTGAAATGCAGTTGGACAGAAGAGTCGCATGACGAAAATCGTGGGACGCGGGATAGCGCAAGAATAGTTATAAGATGAGATCAGCCCTATTCTCTACATCCCTACTGAAAATACCTGTATAAGATCTTGTACAAGAAAATGCATACGTTCAGCAGCTGAACTTGTACAAGAAAATGTACAATTTCTTGTATACGGATTTGAAACAAGTTCTTCTATTGGAACTTGTACTAGAAAATGTACAAGAAAATGTACAGACTTGTACAAGAAAAGAAACTAGTACAAGAAAATGTATATGATCTTGTACGGGTTCATGTACAAGTACTTGTACATATGAACACGTTCATGTTCTTGTACATTTTCTTTACACATTATTTTTAAGTTGTAAAAATTATAAACATTAAAGGCTGCGCAGTAGTTTTTATAAGCCTTTAGAGCTGCGCATTGTTTTTAGCTTGCCTAAAGTGAAGAGTCTTAACGATTATAAGTTATTAAAATGCCAATTTAAAAAAAAAATTATTTATAAATTTACTTATTCCAATTTTCTAAAAAAAATTTATTTATAAATTTACTTGTACAAGAGCATGAACGTGTTCATATGTACAAGTACTTGTATATGAACCCGTACAAGATCATAATATACATTTTATTGTACTAGTTTCTTTTCTTGTACAAGTCTGTACATTTTCTTGTACAAGGTCCAATAGAAGAACTTGTTTCAAATCCGTATACAAGAAATTGTACATTTTCTTGTACAAGTTCAGTCAGCTGCTGAACGTGTGCATTTTCTTGTGCAAGATCTTATACAGGGATTTTCAGTAGGGATACAAATAGTAGTCGAGAGAGGAGAGCACTTACAACAACAGTCTCGACGACAGTACATATAAGAAAAAGTCAAAGAATGCAAACACTTTTCATGTCATTCTCGCTGATGCACTGACTTTAATTGAAAATATTTATGTCTCTCCGAAGAGAATAGGATAATTTATAGTCAATGAGCAAATTTTAATTGATCACAAATAAAACTTATTTTTCCTGCTACTCAGGACATCTTTCAATAATTAAAAAAAAGATAAACTATGTCAATTGTTATAAAAAAAAGATCCTTAACATATTACCTAGAGAATTTCTGTGACTCACCAAACAACTACTGGAGATTTTCTTCTTCCACGACACCATAAACTCCATTTTAAAAAAAATTCATCATTAAATAAAGTTCTTTAAAAATAATTTCAAATATTTGAACATACTAAATAGTAATAACATAACAAATTTTTTAAAATCTTAAAATTGTATAAAACAACTTCTATTTCGTCTTAATTTTAGAAAATGTTTTTAATAAAAATAAATAAAAGAAATTATTGGCGAGTTATAATAAATTCATTAAAAAAATTCCCTAATTCGGCGAACCTGAGAAACTATTCATTACTTTTATAATTAAATCAACACTTTTTTTTATTAGTGTAAAATGCAGTTACTTTCTCTATAAAATAGATAATAATATAATTGTAATATATTAACAACATAAATAAACATTTGAAAAGTCGAGAATCTTTTTTCCAAGTTTATATTAAGAATTAAAAGAAATATGGACAAAAGTGGGTCGTTTAACTTCTCGCTAATTGTAAGTGTTTGATCATGGCGTGTATTAAATTGTTTGCTCAAATATTATTAGTGCATCACATATTATCAACCAGTAAATTCAATTCAATTATAAGAAGAAAAA